GTGTGTGTGTGTGTGTGTGTGTGTGCGTGCGTGTATGTATGTGTATACATATATAAATAAATTATGATGTATATATATATAGACTGTTGGTTAATGAATGTGTAGAGATGCGGCTGAGCAGAGACACTGGTTCGCGAGTCAAACGAGCGCATAATTAGAGGAAGTGCCAGGCATCTCTCTAATCGCGTGCTCTACTGAAGAAGACCTTGACTAGGCTGAGGTTAAGCGTCGCAGCTACGTGACATAGCACAGAATTGATGAAAAACACGCGTTTCTCCGCCGCGCTACGCGACACGGCGGGCGATTTGTCAGTCAGCGTCAGAACATATGGGAATTAATCATCGTCAAACGCTTCGACAATCTCAAGGCAATTCGCTGCATACAATTCGGCCAGTATCTCACGCGTAAAACTCCGGGTCTCTTTATAGCTGCTCTCGCGTGTGTCGCATTTTTGGTTCGCGTTCAGTGCGAGCACGATATGATGAATCGGTAAGCGATTGCGCTCGCAGCTTGCATAATCTCGACGCGGACAGTTTCGACAGTAATGGCGATATGATTCGACAAGATGATGCGACGACAATGTATGAAGTCGGGTCAACCTTACGAAGATCGCGGTAAAGCGACAGAAGTCGCTATCGCCCGCCGACAGTAATGACCTTGTATAGATACTACTCGCGCTTAGCTGCGCGACGGACTACAGTGACACTCCGGCTATGGGGTGATGGACAAAACATAATGACTACTTCCACTCATCATGATGTGTGAAAATGTCATCGGGCCACTTCAAGCGTGTTCGGTTAGTTGGCTCGCGGTGGACGTGCTTCTTTTATTGCCGCGTGGCGTCACCTATCGGACGAGTTACACGTTTATGTTACGAGTCTACCTCTAGTCGTGTCGGTTTGCGATTCCTATTTGATGCGGAATCAGTAACGTATTTAAACGTGTGATAACGTCTTCTACGTCTACAACCCGTTCTCTGGGCTAACGACATGCTGAATTCCTAGTGTGACAATTATTGACTAACTCCCCAAATTACCAACCAACAAATCTTCAAATTAAACAATGGTAATTGGTAACTGTAATAACAAGTGAGTTTTATTCGTGACTGTAGTACATTCGTTTACTAATTTGTCTCGGGCGGTTTATACATAATTATTTATTACATATTTATACATATATATTTTTTCAACACTAGTAGTTATTGAGAAAATGTGCGTAACGCATATTTGCGCGCTCTCTCTCTCTCTCTCTCTCTCTCTCTCTCTCTCTCTTATTATTTAGTGCTTGTGAGTCAGACTGATTGTGACAGATTCGGTGTTCACGACACCCAGTACAGCATTGCGACTTCAAAAAAATCTGCCTCTGATGAAATCACTTGCATGATTTCAATTGGATTTACTACTTACATTAATGGGGCTTACAAAATCTCAGGACACACCAGACACCAGAAACAGAGTACACGAGACACACACGAAAATTGAAACTGTTGAAACAAACGAATACAAACAGAAAACGAAAACAAAACAGCTGCCCCTTTCAGCAAATGTTTCCTTTTTTTGTTTTTTTGGTCTTTTTTAGACCCGAACACCGGTGTTCAACCGAGTATAGTTTAGAACCGCGTCCGGTACAGATCGATCTCTTTCTGCTAAAAATTTGGCGCTATTCGGATCAAATGACGCGAGCCTTTCGATTAACAGTACGTACAAACATTCGCCAAAGTTTATAGTCAGATATAGTTTTAGTAAATAATCAGCTTATTAGCGTAATCTATGCGGAGAAGACTTGCCTACAATACTACACTGAGTACCTAGTATGCTATTAACCAGTCTCGCTGGCAAAGGATCGCTAGCAGTTAAATTGTGCAAAGCACGAAGAATAAGAAGCTGATTTCTAGATCCCGCTAACGGCCGAATGTCCAGCAATCTGCAGTGAGCGTCGATGAAGTAGGGAAATCGTCGGGGCGTGGAGAAATTGGATATTGGTGATAGACAGAGCTGGATGCAAGAGAAAGTACTCTAACAACGTTTACAGCGTCGATCATAATGGCCAGGTAGACTGTTTACGCATAGCCTAATAAATACCTGTACGTGTGCGTCTATGAGTGAGTGAGCGAGTGAGTGAGTGAGTGAGTGACGTTGATTTGTGACTGTGACTGTGCAGTGAGTGAGTGAAGTGACTTGTGAGTGAGGAGTGAGTGATGTGACGTGAGTGATGATGTGATGTGAGTTGACGTGAGTGAAGTGACTGTAGAAGTGAGTAAGTGATGAGTGAGTGACGTGAGTAAGTGAGTGCAGCGTGAGTGAGGTATGTGACGTGAGTGACGGCATCGTGATGTGAGTGGTGAGTGAGTGTAGTGGTGAGTGCAGTGAGTGAGTGAGTGAGTGGCCTGAGTGAGTTGGGGAGTGTGAGTGAGTGTCCTAGCTACGGAAACAGTGAGTGAGTGAGGCACACCGAATGGTGATGTGAGTGAAGTTGACGTGAGTAGGGGTGAATATGTGTGGGGGAGAGAAAGCAAGAGAGAGAGAGAGAGAGAGGCGATGAGAGAAAGAGTGAGGAGATGGGATGCGGAGAGAGAGAGCGAGAGCTTGTTGTTGATAATATTTTAGGCAGTGCATCACTTTCGTCCTGACATTGCCAGCAATGCTTGCTCACGTCTCCAAGACATGACAGAAGATTTCGAGTTGATGGCCTTCCAGAGCAGGATAAGCTGGGGAGTGCAAAATATGCTGCGTTTCTGGGAAGAAATTCATAGAGAGGCAATCCCATTGGGCGGGCACGTGCGACAGTATCATTTACAGAAGCGTATACTATGTTGTGGTCATTAATTCGAATTTTTTTTTTTTTTATGTAACGTTAATGCTTTAAGGCACATTTGCCTTGTTCACTCTTTTTAAAACATTTGAACTTGGGTCATTGCGTGGGTGGATCATTTAAGAGACATTGAATACATTGTTCAAATTAACTGTAAAACACCCACGGCTCGCGGCCTCTGTCAATCGCCCACACCTATCCAGGCGCTTTCTCTTCTCTCTTGTCCTTCATCTCTGCGCGCTCTCTACTCTCTCTCTCTCTCTCTCTCTCTCCTCTCTCTCTCTCTCGGCTCTCTTCTCTCTCTCTCTTCGTCTCTCACCCTCTCTCTCTCTTCATCACTAAGTGGCTTCTCCTTTTTCTCTTTGCTCCAGATGAGGGCGTGAAGGTTGCTGACATCTGCAGGGCCATTATAGAATATAAATTAATTTAAATCAGCGCTGAGCTGAGCAGAGAAGCAGAATTTTTGTCACCTGAAGCCAGAATGGGGAGTTGGAGAGAGCAGAGAGATTGAGTCNGTGGAGAGATAGGAAACCTTAATTAGAGTCATGGGAAGTGGATATAGGCGCATATTACGGAATTCGTGCAGTCAGTCATTTTATCCAACTGCAGTAATATAGTAATATAAATAATAATGACATTGTCGTGTTTAACATGACCTACATAAATAGTCCGTTTTAAGTACTTATAATAGTAAATGCTAATTGTGTGAGGTTTAAAAATATTTAGCCTACATATTTTGTAACTGAACGAATGAGCATATATATATACTATGCGCATGTAATATGTATATATATTAATACTATATGTAATATATATGTAATATACTACTATATACTACTATATACTACTATATGTAATATATATATACTATGCGCATGTAATAATGTGCGCATAGAATATGCGCATGTATATATACATGCGCATATTCTCCTAGACGTGGGTAAGTGTAGCTCGTATGATAGCCGTGATACCCTGCAAGCTCTCGCTCTCTCTCCCTCGCTCTCTCTCTCTCGCGCTTTCTCTCGCTCTCNGAGGAGGAAAGCGAGGAAGAGAAAGCAGAAAGACAGGCGGGAAAGCGGGTGGAAGTGGCTGCCAAAGGAAGATAGGGCGAGAGGTTCAGGGAGAGGAAGAAGGTGTGAAAAAGCCGAGCAGTGTGCGGTGGCTTTGAGCAGTGGCCGGTGCGGAACCAAGCGGGACAAATGCAGGAGCGAAATCGAGCTGACAATGTTCGAGAGCCGGCGGCCAGTGACGAACGCGGGCTATAGCCTATGGGCTATAGTACTAGAGCTAATCGACATCGTACACACTGTCACACCTATGGTCACACGAAGAGCGCTTGGTAACTATGGTTAATAGAAAATTATATGTTTTACTTGCCGTGGCAGAGACAAGGCTCGGATTTGCCGGAACAGGCGGCAGTCTTAACCTCGTAGAATCGCCCATGTGAATATTTTAATCACAACGTTAATCAACAAGAATTTCTATCCTCGCAGAATCCGCCCCTCTGATCCGCCCCAGAATTCCCGGCAGACAGCGCCACCTCCTGGACGAAAACGGAGGATATGTAGACAATGTGCTAAGGTGAAGGAGCGATTATATGATATACGCGCACGAGCGCAGTTATTGTACATAATTGTACTGTATATTATACTTATTGTAAACTTGTATACTTATCTCCGTAAGCTAGGGTAATATATGTTAGTATATACCCTAGGTAAAAATGGGACATCTACTTCTTCTTCTCGGGTCACACACACACACATACACTACACGAAACTCCACGACAGATGGCGCTCTCGCTCTGGCTCAATTCTATATCCGTGAGTGGAGGGAAGGGGGCGAACTGCAGGCGTTGGCACTACACTCGGGCAGATAAAGGTCTATGTCCACCGACTTGTTTGACCCGGGCTCCCCTCGTCCTGGTGCCCCCGCGCCCCCCTGTCCTTGTGTGGTCCCTCCGCCCGTAAGCTTAGCTATGCTGACTAACTAGAGATATAGAAGAATATAAGTATAATATATATAGGGTTAGGGTTAGGGTTAGTCAGAAATAGATAAACGAGCCAAGTCAAACAGAGGTCTGAGGCGTGTTCAGGAGAGCGAACGTTCGCGAGCGCTCGCCTTCTGAACGACACTGCGCGAGCGAGCGTGAGCGAGCGCGCGCGCGCAAACTCCAAAGGCTGTTCGCTCAGCGCGCGAGTTGTATACAAGATGGCAACAGGCAATCTGGCGAATGGGAATCTAACATTTCTGACTTCCATTTGCAATCTATTTCAACTTCATTTTATTTTTCATTCATTCATTTGGTACTTCTAAATTCAATTCGTATTAGTTTTGTCTGCTAATTCGTTTAACAGTACTACATTAAAATCTTGCAATTAAAATCTGCTGAGTAACCCTCCATGGGGGCCGCCATCTTAGATAAAGAAAGCGCACAGCGAGCGCTCATGTGTCGTTCAAGAGGCGCTGCGTTCGTGCATCGAGCGTTCGCATCGAGCGTTCGCTCTCCAGAACACGCCTCAGGAAGACATATATATACGTACCCTACGAGCTACACTCGGCCTATAGCCACTGCAGCACACAGGACCTGACACGCCAGTGGTTGAAAGCCTCAAGGTCTCCAGGGCTCTGGTAATAGGGGGCATTTTAGGAGATGTCCCATAATCTGGTCATCCCCGCAGTTGCATTCGGTTGGGCCATTTTCAGTGTATCGCCATTTCTGATCCCCATGAGTGCCCTGCATCGACCAAAACCTGTCCTGAGGCGATTTAGGCATAACCACATCGGCCATGCCTCGTTGGCTCCAGGTGGGAGGGATTCCTGGGGTCTGAGTGGAAGCTTATGTTGGCTTGTCTGAAGATGCTTTGACCATTGGGCGATCCTGTAGTTTTGGGGGTTGCCATTTAGGGGTTGAACCGCATGGATGACACTGTGCCTGAACTTTATAGTCTCTTCTGTACTGTTTCATGATGGAAGAGGAGGTGGCGATGGTCATTTTTTTGGTTAAGTTTCTCTACTTGAGATGAAGCCATTCGTCTAACGTGTGGAGGAGCAATGCCACAGAGCAGGTAGAGGTCATCTACGTTGGTTGGTCTCAATGTAACCAGACCACAGAAGACCAGTTACATATATAGGAGATGTATTTATTTAGTACACAAAGCGGCTAGCACCTTCGGACAAGAATCAAAAAGCTGGCACCATTCCCACAACCACGCTGCCTCGTTTCTCAGAATATTAGGAACGAGTGCAAAACTAGAACACTAATAGGTGCTGCCCTGTATACCGATCAGATGTAACTAAACACAATCACAAATTTTGGCACAGTACTGCCACATCAAGCATCCAGAAATGGCTCTGCAGGCAGTGTTCAGAACTGGGTCATTTTTTGTAGCATAGGGCGATCTACTCCAGGCAGGGCACACATACTCAGCCGCAGAGTAGCACAAGGCGATAGCAGTGGTTCCGATTGTCCCGGCGTCTGTTCCCCATTTAGTAGACGCCAACTTTTTTAGAATACTGTTTCTGGCAGACTGGCACCCATGCACTGTGATGTGATGTGATATTTGGTGCCACTAGCTGTGATGTGATCCTTGTAAGTTAGAGAGCGGTCTAAAGTAACTCTGAAAGGGTCCATGTCCCCCAGGGTACTGCCGGAACGTGGCCATATTTTAAAATTCTGTTGACTCGACTTCCACACCGAAGTGCGCGTGCGTGCGTGGTGCGTGCGTGTACGTGCGTGCGTATGTGTGCGTATATGCATGTGTGTGTGCGTGAGTGCGTGCGTACGTACGTGTTGGAAGAAAACACACAGGTGATAACAAGTATATTTGAGAAAATTAAACCAGAACAAAATCACGTATGATTCTGCAAAGATGCCTATATATATAGCTGCAACTCTTTTAATCTAAAAAATGGAAATGATAAGATGTGGAAACATAATAGGTGGTCGGTGCTACGTTTTATGTCTCCAAGGTTCACGTGTCTTTTTTCTCTTTCTGCGATAAACGTGAAAAAAACAGAACTGCGGATAACGAAGAGTCTGTAGACTAATGGATGTATCTGTACATAAACGCTGCTTATAGATCAACAATTTTTTATCACGAACGTTTTTTATTACACTGTAAAGGAAAATGTTCTCATTCGTTTATGTTATTACATTACTTTTGAATAGATGGATGTCAGGGCTTATTTTGAATGATTTCTATAACCCATTCTTATATTCGCTATATCACTATGATTCTCCCCAAAATAATTCGTATTTCCGTCGCCTTCGACTGTTAGTATAGTGAGGGCGGGTAAGGTGTGGGAGATGTTGCTGTAACCCAGGGAGTATAGGTAACCCAGTGTGGATTGGCCAGCGTGCTTTGTGTATACGTGGTTATGTGACCAGAGTTGTGTATGCATTCCGATAGGGGTCGCTCGCTCTTTCGGCTCGCTGGTGTGTAAAGTTAATAAAACGTGTTCCAGCCTTGTCATAACAAAGTACTGTTATAGACTATATATATGAAGTAACAAAACTTACACCCAGGGAATATAGCTGAAACTATCACAGCTGCATTACCGATAGGATGCGCGTTGAAATCATAGAAATAGAATAGAATTCTATTCTTCTATTCTATTTCCATGGTTGAAACCAGCTCGCTGGCTCCATCTATCGGTAAATATTAAAATATATTTATCAGTAGCATTGTAAGAATGATATCGGTAGGTATCAGGTGTACGTTGGTTATACGTTGGTTTTATATTAGGAATGTACGTAGTATAAATACACAGACCAGCTCGGACGATTTCTCCCGGTAAGTTTTAGAAAGAAACATTACATTTATTCGGAGGATTATTGGTAGTTATGCACAGACTACAAATAAATTCACCATAAACATGCTATTTTGCATTGCATGTCATTTACCACTACAAATATCGCTTTGTAGTATGGAGTATTGTATGGAGTTGTATTGTATGGAGTTGTTAGGAGTAATTAGTACATATTAAATACAACAAACAATTTTAAGACCTAAACCCCCATTCGCGGCGCTTTTTGCGGCTTTTCCTGCCTTGGAACCCCTAAATCCGAAATAATCCTGAATGACTTTCAAAACTAGCAGGAATTTCAGGAATTTGATCCCGGCATTTGATAAAAGTTTTTTATGATATTCAAGATGAAAGACGAGAGAGAGGAAAACACCGACTTTTAAAAGAAATCTTCGGCGTGAAAAGTCAAATACACCCCTTTTTTTTTTTACAATTCTTGCCGGATTTTGTCGCACGAAAAATACCCCTTTACCGGAGATTT